GAATTTCTAGGCTAAATTTCTAGTTACACCCAATCTTATTATAAAATAACACTGGAACGAATAACTAAAATCGAAAAATTCATAAAAACTATACTAACTCCGGATCCACTCAATCCAAGTTTCGTTTCCTTCGCAGGGTGGTATGAAATGGGAGAGGCCGCACCTGAAATTTCTAAGCCCTAACATCTGCAGCATAGACCCGGGAGGAAGCTTGAACGATGAAGTAGAAACACCAATCAGAGGAATGGAACTAGCAATCTCTTCTTGCCATTCATTTCCGATCGCCTTGATGGACGATCACGATCTTAAAGCAGAATCAGCCAGGTTGAAATCCAGAATAGATGTAAAGCTAGAGCAGGCCAAGTGCCTGACAACTTCTGATGCCATCACAGCTCCTGAAACAACAACAGAGTCGTCCAACAATGCCTATCCCTGGTGGCGGCAACTTAGCATCGCCGCCCACGATGATCTCCCAACTCTCTTCTTTCTCTATTGCATGGAACTCCTCCAAGGAGGATTAAAGATGGAAGAGGAAGAAGAAGAATTAACCAAACCTGACATTGACATAACAAAGGAAACCAGGAGGCTACAGAGGATCTGGACGGCTGTGAGAACAAAAAGATGGAATTTTGCATTCAAATGTTCACTCTCTCTGGGTTTGGCAGTGCTATTTGGATTGATGTTCAACGAGAGAAATGGGTACTGGTCAGGACTCACCATTGCAATCAGCTTCGTCACAGAGAGGCAAGCTACATTCACCATGGCCAATGCACGTGCCCAAGGGACGGCGATGGGATCGGTTTACGGAATCCTCTGCTCCTTCCTGTTCCACGGCCTTGTGGAATTGAGATTCCTTCTCGTCCTGCCTTGGATCGTCTTCGCTAGCTTTCTCAGGCAGAGCAAGATGTATGGCCAGGCAGGTGGAATTTCGGCTGTTATTGGTGCATTGTTAATCTTGGGGAGGAAGAATTATGGGAACCCAAGTGAATTTGCAATTGCAAGGATCACGGAAGCAACCATAGGGTTGCTCTGCCTTGTTGCAGTCGAGATTGTGCTGCAACCGGCAAGAGCTGCAACTCTGGCTAGAACAGAGATTGCTTGGGGATTAGAAGCATTCAGAGACTGTGTAGAAGGTTTTACTCTGTGCACCGACAGAAAAGGCTTGTTCTTTTCAAGTACGACACAGAGAGATAAGCAGAAAATTTTGGAATGCCATGTTGGTAAGCTGAACCAATTCATCATGGAAGCAGAGGTGGAGCCTAATTTCTGGTTTCTGCCCTTCCATGCTACTTGCTACAAGAAATTGCTAGGATCTCTAAGAAAAGCAAGCGACCTCTTGCTCTTTGTTTTCAATCAGTCTGAGGTGTTCTCATATGGAGCAGACAAAATACAACTCGATCGGAAAAGGGTAGAAGACATCAATGCTGATCTAGAACTTTTCAGAGACAAGGTTGGCTCAACATTGAGATGCTTGCAAAAAGTTATCTCCTTTGAGTTCCTCACAGATCTTGAAGATGGGTTGCACAAGGAGAAACCATCTTACGACATTGAATTGGGGAGACCACCAGAAGGAGATAAGTTGAAGATGATGTTAGGACCTGATGAGGAAACAGTTTCGAACCTGGTGAATGGTTTCCTCCAACACTTGAGGGAATTAGGTGATGTCATTGATAAAAAAGAAGCAGAACAGAAGGTGAAGAGCCAGATGATTCTTTGCTTAAGTGGGCTGGGGTTCTGCATCGGTAGTTTGATTAGAGAAATAAAAGAGATTGAGAATGAAGTACAAGAACTGATTGCATGGGAGAACCCAACAACAACACAAGTCAATGTGTATGACGTTTATTGTAAAATCAGCGATCTTCATAAAATATGAATGCCATCGATTCTCGTGTCTTATCTGTTATCTCAATTTCGCTCAAATGTGCATCCAAATATCAACATGCTAAACAAAGCACAAAATCTCATCATTTAAGTACATACAGAGGAGAAGTTGCTTGAACTCATCAGCCCCACTTCGCACATTTGAATTTTATCTCTTATTTGTTGAGCAATGATGAGAAGGGGGGGTTTGTCAATGTCATGCACTTAACCTCCTTGGATTTCTGCTTTGGAGTTGAAATCTTTCTTCCTCCTAAGCCTTCTCCAATTAATGTCCTTTAGTTGTCCATTTTGGGTTCCTGATTTTGAGTTGAACTCTTCTCTTCCTCCTTAGCCTCATCAATTGATGCTTTATTTCTCGTCAGCTTTCTCATCCATTGTTTTCTCTTGAAGATCTCTTTCTTGTTCACCAGATGCCTTGGATCTTGTATCTATTTTCCACTTTGTAAGAAGATCATGGCAACCCTCCTTCAGTTTGGGCTTGGTATTTCCCATAGAGTACCTTAGGTATTTTAGTGAGAGCTTGGGTGATGGTGCCAAATTGGGCCTCCAATTTTTGCAATGAGTCTTTATGGTTCCTTTGTCGCGCTTCTAATACTTGGAATCGATAAGAGAAAATTTGAATAAACTTGTCCAATACATCAAACCTCTTATTAGAAGTGGTCACAAATTGTGTCATCATCTCCTCCAACTTGTTGACACTATCAGTCAATACCTTGTTCCCAAAGGTTAGTGCTCAAAAAGAAATTTTGTTGTGGAAGAAGGCATGGTTGTTGTTGAGAATGGGATGAAGAGGACGAGAATTGGTTTTTGAGGAAGAAAGGGAATTGGGTTGCAATGTTCTTGTAAGACTTCACTCCAGGTTTTAGCATGTTGGTAATCCATGGTGAGAAGAACTACGGAGCATATCATTGTATTTTTCTCGTGCGTTCATACATTGTCTTACCATCCTCTTGGTAAAGTAGTGATCTCACTCCTGAACCTAGTAGTCAAGGAGGGAGCAAGTAGCAGTTCAACAAATGCTCCACTAGGTCCTTCGAAGAAGCGATGAAATTGGCTTATTGATTTTTTTGCCACTCAACGATATATTATATATACCAAATCTCCTCCTGAGATGGGGATATTCGGATTTCAAATGCTTGTATGTAATTTATCAACGTTGGGGAAAGTGTATAACCCTATAGTTATCTCTCTCAGCGGAGGGATTGTGGTCACCATTGATCGCTTCTTCATCATTGTGAATTTTTCTCTTGTTAGGGCCACCATTGTTGTTCCTTTTTGTTGGTTGTTGATATCAATGTTGTACCTCTCTTCTTTAAGCTTAAAGGGAAAGGTCTTGATGCTCTAATTGTGGTATAACTGAAGTTCTTCTCAAGTTTAGGTTGATCTCATTGTCATATGCCATTAGATCTCCTAGATGTCCTTGGTCATACACCGACAAACCTATACAATTAGTTACAACAAAAACACCGGTGAAATGCAAAGGTGCGATGCAACAAAAGCAAAGTAAAAAAATGCAAAAGCAAGAAAGAAAATGCTAAAGTAGTAGCTCAATCCTTTCATAATAATCTAGACTCCCCAACTATTATGCCAATTTTTTTTTTATTCAAATGGCTTACTACTAGGTTTAGCCAACGAAATTTCACTTTAAATAAATAGCATAATATATGGCATTCAAATGTCGTATTTGTAAAATGAAACAAGCATATTCAAAAGAAGATGAGATCTACCTACCCGAGACTTCTCATTTAATTAACACTTATTATGTTTGGTTGATTAAATTTACCTACCTACCCTTTTAACACTCTCCCTCAAATTGATGGTGCTTTCGCAACATCAATCTGGTAAGCACCAAGGACGAGATGATAAAACAAACTTAGTGAATAGATCCGTTGCTTGACCTTTAGAACTATTCTAGGCAAGCTCAATAACCCCCCTTGGTAGCTAGTTGGAGATATAGTGAATATGAACCTCTATGTGTTTTTTCAAGCCATGCCAAATAGGACTTGTCACTATCCAAATTGTCGTTGTGTTATCTGTATATAATCGTACCATTAATTGACAATCCATACCAAACTCTACCAACACGCATTGTAACCAGGCATGTCAAAAGTGACGTCTAACATAGAGCGTAACTCGGCTTGTGACTATGACTTCAATACATGTGTTGTGCCTCTTGCATCACCAGGAGATAAAAAAAATTCCCAACCTTCACACACCACTCAGAGGTAGAGCGGCGAGTATCCACACAACCATTATAGTTAGCATCAACATAAGCTTCAATTACTAGCTGCCCACCTGATGAAACAACAAGCCCACATCATGTGTGCAATTCAGGTAACATAAAATCATGTGAACTGCAGTCAAATGATGAGTTAGTGGTGCATTAATAAATTGACTAACCACATGTACCACATAGGAAATACCAGGTTTAGTGTGAGTGAGATATATGAGACTACCCACCAGACTTCAATATTGTGACCCATCGTGGAAAAGTCCTCCATCCGATTCTCGGATTTTCTAATTTTTCTCTATGGGAGTGGCACATGAAACACAATCCTCGAAGTTCACATGCTCAAGCCAGCCCATCGCATGCTCCTTATACACTCAAAATAATTTGAACGGGGATATCACGTAAATCGATTGTGTCGAGTCTCTTTTCCTTCTCGTATCTTAGATATTTCATTTTGTGTGTGTTAGAGTCAAGGGTACTCGTACTACCCAAACATGTAGTAGCGACTAGCGAGTAACCCGTGGGTACCCAATGTAGCATTTTACAATTCCAAATCCCATTCGCTAATATATATTACATGTATTTGGTTACCCGTAACCCTAAAAAAATAAACGGGTACGAGTATACACAAATACCCGTTTCCCGTTGCCCATTATATAGCCCAAATTAGAATATGTGAGCCCATTACATGGCCGGAGTTGTGAGCCCATTACATGGCCCAAATTAGAATGAAAGGTTCGAATATGTGAGCCCATTACATGGCCGGAGTTGGATCCTAAGCACCAAGAAGTCAAAGCAATAGGAAAGATACAAACAAAATAATGGGTCGAATTAAATAAATTTGGCAAAATGGTCTCACAGCCCCGCACAGCCGTCTATTAATTCCTTCCTTGTTCCTGACTTCACGTTTTTTTGTTTATCAATTACGTCCTCGACCTCAACTCTACCGCTGCTTCTTCCCCAGAAGGCCAGAACGCAGTGGCGCGTCCTTTTCTTGCATCTACCACCCAAAGCCCAAAAGAAAACTGTATTAAAAGAAAACCCCAGAAAGTAAACACCATTATATACTTACTATTATTGTTGTACCAATGGAGAGTCTCTCCAAAAGGAAAATCTGGAAACGATTCCTCTCATCATAAAAGCAAGCAAACCTATCCCCCACCGCTTTTTATTACATCACATAACATACAGATTTAATAATTGATTTCAAACCCCACAGTCCAATAATCTCTCCGCCCCACCAAACCTCTCCATCTCCACCATTCTCTCTCGTCAAAAACCTCTGGAACGCAACACACACAGCAGTCAAACCACACAACAAGAAAACTTCGAGCGACGGATATGGAAGATATGGATGCAAACTAAAATATCCTTTTTTTTGTTTTGTTTTGTTGTGTGTGTGTGTGGATATTCTCTCGCTGTGGTTTTTGCTTTCTGGGTTTTTTTAGCGGTGAAGGAATTAAAAAGGAAGACACAAAAAAAAAAGGAGGGTTGCAGGAAATCTCTAGGGTTTAACGATGTCGGCTGGAATTTGTGGGAAACGGCTTGGTTTCGAGGAGATTTTTGGATCTCAATCCTCTTATTCGGTGAAGAGATCCAGGTGCTCCGCTTATGGATCTCCCACACGATCCCCTGAACTTGGGTCCGGATCTGATGATAAAGTTCTCACCTTGCTTCAGATGTTCCCTGCTGTGGATCCTGAGGTGAAATTTGTGCGCCTTGGTTTGAAATGCTTCCACCAGTTCCATTGATGTGCAGATGAATGATGAATGCTGTTTTGTTGAATATTCCCCTTCACATTTCCGCCGTTTGACTTTCTGTGTACTGAGAGTTGCAATTCTTGTTAAAGTAGCTTCTTTTGGTTTGTTTAGTTGGTGAAAACAGCTCTTAGGGAGAACAATAACAGGATCGATGCTGCTATCGAGAGTCTGCAGGGAAGTCCATTTCATCATGCTGTGGATAGAAATGATGTTCCTTCTTCAAGCGCATCTACTTGTATGGCTTCTTGCTCTGGCTTTTCGTAATTTGAAGTCTCAGTTTGTGGTTAGCTTCTAATTTCCCACCAGTCTCGGTTACCTGAACTTTGTAAGTTTTTTCAGGCACTCAACAAATGGGGAAAGAAGAGGCACAAGAAGTGAAACCATCAATTCACTTCGATAATCCCATTGATGGTTCCAAATGGGTGGACCTTTTTGTACACGAGATGATGACTGCAGCCGATCTCGATGATGCGAGGAGGCGAGCAGCTAGCATTTTAGAAGCTTTTGAAAAAACCATTGCTTCTCAGTCCAGGGACGTATCCAAAGAGAAAGAGGTATTGTTCATTGTTTCTGAAGATGGTAGTTTAGATCATTCACAACTCTCTAGCTGTAAATTGGTCGCGACTCGTACTTCACTTCTGACTCTGTCTTTGATAGCCTGACCTTAGCGCTGTCTTGACTCTTAGTAGTTGTTATTTGGTTGGTCTCTTGGTGAAAACATAAAACAGATGGAGAATGCATCACTTAGGGATCATCTTCAAGGTTTGGTAAATGACAACCAAATCTTAAAGAGAGCTGTTGCCATCCAGCATGAACGAAACTTGGAGCAAGAAGAAAAGGCAAAGGAAGTGCACAACTTGAAGCTTGTGTTGAACCAGTATCAAGAGCAAGTTCGTAGTTTGGAGGTAATGTCCATTACGTATTGTTTTGAGTCCTCTTGTTCCTACCAAGTCTCTAACTTGGAACTGTGTATATCTGGATTCTAATTTGGTTCAAGTTGATGATGATAGTAATACAAAATTGGCTTACCAATAAGGTAAAGAAGTACAAGGTAGTGAGCAACAGTTAAATATTTTGCTGTTTGGTGGTATTATTATTCCATGATGGTGAACTTGGCTTTTTTCTTTCTGCTGTGCAGCTAAACAACTACGCTCTAAAGCTTCATTTACAAAGAGCACAACAACAACCTAGCTCGTTTCCAGGACACTTCCCTCCAGACATATGCTAAAAAAGCATCTAATGACTGTCATCTAAGGCATTACTGTTACTAGATTCGTGATATTCTCTTCTTGACGACTGAAGCATAAAAATTACGGATAGGTCAGGTCAGCAAGTATGATCAACATGCTGTTCAGTTTGTATGGTAGGTTATCAGCCCATGTATAATTCGAGCAGAATGACCAGCTCTGTTTGATATCTGTAAAACTTTTATGTGCAATGATTTTTTAGCCAACCTCTTTCCCAGTTCTGGAACCTAAACATACCATAATTGTCTCATAGTATGATCGATGGCGCTTAGATGGATGGATGGCTGCTGACAGATAGGTGCTTTCATGCTTGTCATCTGCCATTAGGAGTGAGGTTCTCACTGTATCTTTGTAAACCTTCTGGCTACTAGTATAGTTTGTAGGGATAATACACCTTTGTCGGTTGTATGGTCTAACCTCAAAACCAAACTGAAAAGTTGGTTATTTGGCTAATTGAAAACGGCTCAAATCATTTGGTTGGCGGTCATGGTTGTGTGTATTTGCCTTCTCAGCTAATCTGTTGGTTGTTGATAATAATCGATACTTAGTCGGTGCACCACAAATAAGCGAACCAACCTACCTCCCACCCATCATCCACAACAATATTTTGATAACACCTAAATTGGTGCTATTTGATCTTCCATTTCTTAGGTGTTTGCATGCCATAATCATCTTTAGCTATTTGAGATGGATTTTGTGCTATAATTGCTTATTATCTTCATACTCGAAGATTTAGGCACTATTGTTATCACTTGGCCATTTGGCTTGAAGTTTGTCCATTCGCATTCTATTCTAGGTTACGTTGTATTTTCTAGCTTAATCTCGGGTCCTAACATGATGAGGAAAGGCACGCCAAGTTTCGTGCCAATCAGAGGTCATTACAAGGGTGAAAAGAAAGGTGAAAAGATGACTTTAAGCAAGTCATGGTCGGCCGGGACCTCCAGGCCGAGATGTACCCTCCCACGCAGAAATGCACAGAAAGTTTGACGACCCGACTAGTGGCCAAGAAGGATTCGTATTGCGTGAAAGATCCGGGCCGCAATTTCCAGATCACGCCCGTGATCTCAGGATCAAGGCTGCGATATCGGTGCTCGTGAATGAATGCAAGACACAGAGGAGAACAACCATTCTGCGACGTTTATCAAGTCACGATTGCGACAAGCCTTGTACTTTTCGTTTCATTAAGGGCAGCGGCCTGGAAGCCGTGACAACCCCTCTAGTTATGCATGGAGGTCGTGACGTGCCTTGGATTTCACTATATAACTCCTTTCCCTACATTTGAGCAAAGGGAGTCATCATAGAGAGATAAAAACATAGTTGTGGAAGATGTAGAGGGAGAGTGATGAACTTGAGGCTTCTTGGGAGATTCTACATATATTTAGAAAATGTATAAAATGGCACAAACCGGTCAAATTCTGATCAAACCATTAAATCTAGAACCACTTACTTAGCCAGCTCAATTAGTTAACCGAGTTTGACAACCTTGGTAAACCCTAAACCTATCTCTCTTTTTCCTCTCTCCCTTCCCCACGTCCGACTCTCTAGTCTCTCCTTCTCTGCCTAGACTAGAGCTACGGCTCAATTATCTTCCCCACCCTATGCTTTTTTATTCTTCCCATCTTCCAATTCTGTTTTCCCCCAAATCAATCCCCAATTCTGATTATCTACTTTATTCTGTGACCCTCGATACCAACGGTTCTAAGATTCCAATTCCGAACCTTGGAGGTCAGCCATGGGGGAAGAGAAACTACGATTTTGCATCGACAGAGGCGGCACATTCACTGACGTCTACGCCGAACTTCCCGGCAGAACTGACGGTCGAGTTCTGAAACTTCTTTCAGTTGATCCAGCAAACTACGACGATGCTCCGGTTGAAGGGATTCGCAGGATCCTTGAAGAGTACACGGGGTCTAAGATCCCTCGCCATTCCAAAATCCCTACGGACAAGATAGAGTGGATTAGGATGGGTACAACAGTGGCAACAAATGCGTTGTTGGAGAGAAAAGGTGAAAGGATTGCTCTCTGTGTGACTAAAGGATTCAAGGATCTGCTACAGATTGGCAACCAGGCTCGTCCCAATATCTTCGACCTCACAGTGTCAAAACCTTCAAACCTTTACGAGGAGGTTATTGAGGTTGATGAGAGAGTTCAGCTTGTTGTTGACAAGGAGGAAGAGGGGTCGTCACCAGCCGTAGTTAAAGGAATTTCAGGTGAGCTTGTCAGGGTTGTGAAACCACTTGATGAAGCCGCTTTGAAGCCTCAATTGAAATGTTTGCTGGAGAAAGGGGTCAGCTGTCTGGCTGTAGTTTTGCTGCATTCTTATACTTTTCCTGACCATGAAGTAGCTGTAGCGAAAGTGGCTTCGAGTTTGGGTTTCAAGCACGTCTCCTTGTCTTCGGCTTTGACCCCGATGGTTCGAGCTGTTCCTCGTGGTCTAACAGCTAGTGTTGATGCATACCTAACCCCAGTCATCAAAGAATACTTGTCAGGGTTTATATCTAAATTTGACCAAGGATTAGGAAAGCTGAATGTTCTGTTTATGCAATCGGATGGAGGGCTTGCACCTGAAAGTAGGTTCTCAGGTCACAAAGCTGTTTTGTCTGGTCCAGCTGGTGGGGTGGTTGGTTACTCGCAAACCCTTTTTGGGCTTGAAACGGAGAAGCCCCTCATTGGGTTTGACATGGGAGGTACCTCCACTGACGTGAGCCGTTATGCTGGGAGTTATGAACAAGTTCTTGAAACTCAGATTGCTGGTGCTATTATACAGGCACCTCAGCTAGATATTAACACGGTTGCTGCTGGTGGAGGATCGAAATTGAAGTTCCAATTTGGAGCATTTAGGGTAGGTCCTGAATCAGTTGGTGCACACCCAGGTCCTGTTTGTTACAGGAAAGGAGGAGAATTGGCTGTTACGGATGCTAACCTCATTCTAGGATATGTCATTCCTGATTACTTTCCTTCCATCTTTGGGCCCAATGAGGATCAACCCTTGGATATTGAAGCTACGAGAAAAGAATTCGGGAAACTTGCTGCACAAATAAACTCGTATAGGAAAAGCCAGGATTCAAGTGCCAAAGATATGTCAGTGGAAGAAATTGCACTTGGTTTTATCAATGTTGCAAATGAGACCATGTGTCGCCCAATAAGGCAGCTGACTGAGATGAAAGGGCACGAGACAAGGAATCATGCTCTGGCATGCTTTGGAGGTGCTGGCCCTCAGCATGCTTGTGCTATTGCTAGGTCGTTGGGTATGACAGAAGTACTGATTCACAGGTTTTGTGGGATACTGAGTGCTTATGGCATGGGGTTGGCAGATGTAGTGGAAGAGGCTCAAGAGCCATACTCGGCTGTTTATGGACCTGAGTCCATCCTAGAGGCTTCCCACAGAGAAAGCGTGTTACTAAACCAGGTGAAACAGACATTACAGGAGCAAGGTTTCAGAGAGGGAAACATAACAACTGAAACCTATCTGAATTTAAGGTATGAAGGTACAGATACCGCAATAATGGTGAAGGGGAGTGTGAATGAAGATGGATCAGTATCTGATTATGATGTGGAATTTGTGAAGATGTTCCAGCAAGAGTATGGATTCAAGCTACAGAACAGGAATATTCTTATTTGTGATGTCAGAGTTCGTGGTATTGGAGTTACAAACATATTGAAGCCACAGGTGTTGGAACCTGCTACTGGTACACCAAAATCAGAGAGTAATCCTTACCAGCTTTACTTCGGAGAGGGATGGCACCAGGTACCACTTTTCCGGCTTGAGAATCTAGGGTTTGGACATGTAATCCCTGGCCCTGCAATCATCATGAATGGAAACAGTACTGTGATAGTGGAACCCAATTGTAAGGCAAATATAACCAAGTATGGGAACATCAAAATCAAACTCGACTCTGATGTGGGTCCGGCTGTCAAAATATCTGAGAAAGTCGCCGATGTTGTTCAGCTCTCAATTTTCAATCACCGGTTCATGGGAATAGCCGAGCAGATGGGAAGGACATTGCAAAGAACATCGATATCAACAAACATCAAAGAACGGCTAGATTTCTCTTGTGCTCTCTTTGGCCCTGATGGAGGCCTCGTTGCTAATGCGCCCCATGTCCCTGTCCACCTCGGAGCTATGTCCAGCACTGTTCGATGGCAGCTTAATCACTGGGGTGATAGCCTAAATGAAGGCGATGTGTTAGTCACTAATCATCCTTCTGCTGGAGGCAGTCATCTTCCAGACATAACAGTCATTACTCCTGTTTTCGAAAAAGGCAAACTGGTCTTCTTTGTCGCTAGCAGAGGCCACCATGCAGAAATTGGAGGCATAACTCCTGGAAGCATGCCACCATTTTCGAAGTCCATATTTGAAGAAGGGGCAGCAATCAAAGCATTCAAGTTGGTGGAAGGAGGCGTTTTTCAAGAAGAAGGAATCATCAGGCTTCTGCAGTTCCCCGGCTCTTCTCTTGACGATTCAGGCGCAGGAGGTCACTTCAAAATCCCAGGAACACGCCGGCTTCAGGATAATCTATCCGATCTACATGCACAGATAGCTGCGAACCGGAGAGGAATTTCCCTTATAAAAGAGTTGATCGAGCAGTATGGTCTGGAAACTGTTCAAGCTTACATGACCTATGTTCAACTAAACGCGGAAGAAGCAGTGAGGGAAATGCTGAAGTCCGTAGCTTTGAGAGTCTCGTCATCTCAGTCTCCAAATGATTCTCGCAGCTCCATCGTCACCATAGAAGAGGAGGATCTAATGGACGACGGTTCCACCATTCATCTGAAGCTGACCATCAACGGTGAGAAGGGGGAAGCATCTTTCAATTTCGACGGGACAAGTCCAGAGGTGTACGGCAACTGGAATGCACCTGAAGCAGTGACTGCTGCTGCAGTCATATACTGCCTTCGCTGCTTAGTCAACGTCGACATCCCTCTGAACCAAGGCTGCTTAGCCCCTGTCGAGATCCACATACCTCAAGGCTCATTTCTCTCCCCAAGCGACAAAGCTGCCGTCGTTGGAGGCAACGTGCTAACGTCGCAGAGAATAACCGACGTTGTACTCACAGCATTCCAGGCGTGTGCTTGCTCTCAGGGGTGCATGAACAACCTCACCTTTGGGGACGACTCGTTTGGTTACTACGAGACAATCGGAGGTGGGAGTGGGGCAGGGCCGACGTGGGAAGGAACGAGCGGGGTGCAGTGTCATATGACGAACACTCGGATGACTGATCCGGAGATATTCGAGCAGAGGTATCCAGTTTTGCTGCACCGGTT